GGGGGGGGGGGGAGGGGATAGAATAGAAAATATTGACCTAGAAAATTTTGAATAGAAATGTTATCCACTTAAAATAATTTAGATCTCCAAAATACCCATTGACACTAAACATAAGAGGCTTGCCTATTGTACCATTTTTTGCAATGCACCACCTAGTCTCTCTCCTCTCTCTCTCTCTCTCTCTCTCTCTCTCTCAATTACGTGCATATATCTCTGTTTTTGAACCAAGTATAAACTTAAGGGTTAGGGGCATCGATACATTGAATTACAAGTACCATCCTGTTCAGTTACAAGTATAGTTTTGTTCAGTTATAAGTAGTATTTATTCAATTACAAGCGTATATCTTCATTTAGTGAATCAAGGCCAAGCTTAAGTCTCACAGACATCGATTGGTTTATTTATAAGTATAGTTCTGTTCAGTTACAAATAAAACCCTATTCATTACAAGCATATACTCATTTAGTGAACCAAGCCCAAGCCTAAGTCTTGTAAATATCAATTGGTTTAGTTACACTGTTCTATCCGATTTCAAGTGGAATCTCACTTAGTTACAAGTATATTTTTGTTTAGTTACAAGCATACATCTCCGTTTATTAACCAAGTCTAAGCCTAAGTCGTATAGATATTGATTGGTTTAGTTACAAGCACAAATCTGTTAGGTTACAAGTAGAGTCCCGTTTAGTTACAAGTACATCTCTGTTTAGCTATAAGCATATATATCTCCGTTTATTAAACCAAGTCCAAGCTCAAGTTTTATAGATATCAATTAGTTCAGTTGCAAGCACAGTTTTGTTCGGTTAGAAGAAGAGCCCTGTTTAGTTATAAGTAGATCTTTGTTCAATTACAAGTATGTATCTCTATTTATTTAAACCAAGTTCAAGTCTAAGTCTTACAGATATCGATTGTCAATTATAAACACAGTTTAATCTGGTTACAAGCAAAGCCTTATTTAATTACAAGCACATTGTTTAATTACAAACATATATCTCCATTTAGTGAACCAAGCACAAGTTTAAGTTTCACAAACACCGATTGGTTTAATTACAAACTCTCTTTTACAAACTAAAGTTAGGAAATATGGAAATTAAACTCCCTTTTACAAACTAAAGTTAAAAATTTGGAAATTATTTTAGGAAGGATATCATTAAAAATATAGGAAATGAGAAATTTAAACTAGAAATGCCTAATTGAATAACATGTAAATATAATAGTATGGGTGTAGTAGTTGAATCAAGTATAAAATTAATTAGTATAATTATTTTAATCGATTGTAAATATTTCATATGTCTACATATATAAAGAATAACTCAATTTTTTAAACTAAATTAATACAAATTAAAATTTCATATAACTACAATTTAGTTATCAAAATCTAATTACATTCTATTTCTCATAACATTATAATTAAATACTAATTTTAAAAATATAAATTTAAAAAACATAAATATTGATGAATTATAGGATAATTCTATGGTAACTAGGCTAAATCAAAGCTTTTCAAAACCAGGCTTATGTGAATTGGTAATAATATTGAACATGTGGATAAGACAAATATGTTTAAAAAATCTTCAAATTTATCAAATCAGGTTGCGATTCAACGAAAGCACATGCCTCTTTCCAAATTAAAATTATTCGTCGACGGTGTGAGCTGCGTTGAAGAGGACAAGGAGGACTTGGACCCCTTGATTGGCCGAGAATGCGTGAAGTGTGGGGTCCAGCCCCATAAAAAAATTCGAAAGCAAAGAAAAAAAGGAGAGAGCAGCCGCAAGCCTTTTTGACCATCAATTGCACCGATTTTGACAATTAAAATTTGCACCGAGGAGGAGCCCTTTTTGTGGACAAAAAGGGGATAGCGCAGCTGCCCTCCTCCTCCTCGCTTATAAATAGAAGTTTTGATCTCCTTAAACATAACAATGAGAGAGAAGAAAAAAGAAGTCAGGAAAGAATCTTTCAAATTTTGAGAAGAGCAAAATTTTTTTACGTGGAGGGTAAGTTTACTATCGTAATAATAATGTAAAAGTAAAAAATTTTTTATGGGTGAATATTCAGAGTTAGATAAAAATATTTGAAAGTTTTGTATAATTTTTTTTTTATAGTGATGATATTTTTTGTTTCTTTTAATTTGTGATTTTTTTATTTATGTTTTTCATGTAAATTTTGGTATTTATATATTTTACTTCTTTCTAAATTTATTATGTGTCTATTTTTATCTATGAATGTTCTAAGTGATACCAGACTACAAGCCCCAACATGAAGAACCTGTCCATGCTTGGTGAGATTTTATGAAGTTGTCAGAGTAAGTGAACTTGAAAAATCCTTTTCAATATAGTTATATATGGTTGTTGTTTCAATACGAGCTCTAGTTCTATTTTGTAATTGTGTCAATCTCTTTTCTGTGTACACTGAGAAATTCTTTGGATTGATTCAACTTGACGAGGCTAGGAAAGCTAGTTTATCAGCCCTATTGTGATTTAATAGAAACATCTTGAACTACAGATTACCGATATGCATATTTGTATCTGCTGGATCTTTTTTGGTTTAGATTTGCGTATTTACTTCTCATTTGAAGGGAGCTACAGATCATGAAATGGTTAGCTATCCCCCTGTGGATATGCCCCTTTGGACTGCCGTAATGTTGGCTTAGATAATCACAATTCAAAAGTGTAACCACTCATGCTTTATTTGGAGCATTTTTATCTTCTAATCCTGCCAGTAATGTCTGGGTTTCTATTCTGTTTTATGTTTTCTGTTGTTAGTTTTAATTTCATGTGATTTTGAAAGCTGAAATAAAATGTTGAAAACGATATTATTTTAGCGTCGTTTTCATTTTTGAGCAAAAAGTGTTTTAAGAATTCTAAAAACAACTATTTGCTTTTTTTTTTTTTTTTACTAAAAACAGTTTTTGGAAACAACTGTTTTTTTTTTTTTACTCAAAACAGTTTTTGGAAATCAGAAGGATGTGATGCCACAATTCAGATATGATGGACTGACTAGTTTTTCATTGCTACATATTCCTTCTCCCTTTGACTGTTGTTTCAAACCTCACATGGAGTCTTTAATTAAAAAGCAAACAAGAAGAATTAAAAAATAACAATGAAATAGATGTTCCTTAATTATTGGTGTTTTTCTACGGGATAAAGGATTTGAAGATGCCAAACCAGTAATTGAATCTATAAAAAGTACAGACATTATCAAGCTGAAAAAAAAGGAAATAAGTGAAATAAAGATTTGGAAGAAGAAAATCTTTTCAATAGATAGGAATTAATTTACCTCGGACAAAAGTTATCTTCTTTCTTAACGAAAGTTATCTTCTTTCTTAGAATGTCGTACGAAGAATATATACTTATGTGGATTGGGTACTGGGGAATTATCTGCGAAAAGGATTGATTGTCTGGTGAAATTCTTGCAACATTAAGAACCAAGGAGGATGGAGACTTATGGGTTGCGGCCGCGGCCACGGGGGCCACAGCTGCATCATCGTTTGCAACGAGTCATTAAATGGAAATGGGGCGGCGAGGACAGGGCCAACTACATGGATCCCTCCATTTACAGGGCAGTCCTCTCGGGCGACACCGCTGCCTTCCAATGCATCTTAGACCAACATCCAGACCTCATCGATTGTCTAGACCAGGTAGCGACCTCCCGCGGAGAGACTGTACTTCACATCGCTGCGAGGCTGAACCACACCCAACTTCTGGAACACCTCCTCGCTAGATTCCCAGCTCTATACTCGACCGTCAACTCCAACGAAGACCACCCTCTCCACGTCGCGGCCGCAGCCGGCCATTTGTCTGCCGTCGAGTGCTTGATCAGAGACAGAGCCAGTGACCGGCTAACGGTCGAGAATATTGAGCTTTTCTTGAAATCCGGTAATATAAAGGGGAACACTGCGTTACACGAGGCCGTACAGAGCCATAACTACGAGGTGGCTAAGTTTCTGTTCACGGTGGCGCCTGAACTCTCCTATTCGTTGAATTCAGATAACGTGTATCCTCTGTATATGGCGGCTGAAACAGGAAATGAGGAGCTCGTTGAGCTTATGCTGCAATACATTGTTTCGATCCCCGATTATCAAAACCCAGATGGGCCACCAAAAATAGCGTTATTGACTGAAGGGGGTTCACTTGTCCATGCTGCCATTAGAAATCGGAATCAAGGTACGTACTCCAAGCCTGTTGCTTATATTGGTTACTTCATTTATATAAGCATAATATATATATATATATATAAATAGTAAAAGTTCCCATAAATTAAGCTTCACCTATATATGCATAATATAATCGGAATATAAATTTTATTTTATTTTTTATATTTATTTTTGGGATCCATACATATGCTGTTCTACATATATAATTTTTGGATTGAACCTAAATTTGGCCCATATACTTTTTATGCATTGTTCATTTTAGTATCTGTATTAAACAATTGTTTATTTTTTATATTTTCAAATTTTGATCAAAATTGAGAATGAGTATATGTAAATCCGTATTTTTAATCACAATCAAATGATTGGAGTTGTATATCACAATTATATGTCTGTTGTACTTGAAATTTAAATTTAAAAATAATGATTGTTTATTATTTTTTACCAATTAAATTAAATGTCAAATGCCCAAAATATATATAATATAAAATTGAACTATTCTCAATATAATCTCAATAAAACAGTTTTATGTTTAATTTATCTAAAATAAATGGGCATTTCCTTGTAAAGTCTTTATTGATTTTTATTTTTGTGACTTGAAAAAAAAATCAATACAACCGAGCTAATGCCTTAGCCGCAGAGACCTGGAGGAATATATCTGAAGATCTTCACTCATCAGCCCCACCCCCGTCCCCCGCCGCAACTCAAAAACAAGAGGATGAAATTACCAATTTGCTTGGCTTCGTGCAGCCTTTCTTTTATTTTAACTTTCCGTTGAGATTATCTTCTTCTTCTTCATCTTCTTTTTCCCCAATCTATCTCTATCTTTTCTATCAACTTTTTGCAGGCGTTCTCGAGATAGCATACAATTACGAACCATCTCTTTTTAAAGATACGATGAGGAAAATAGGACACCTCTTTCCACTGCGGCAAGCATAGGTTATCTTGATGGAGTTCTCTTCATAGTGGAGAGATTTGCTGACCACACATACTGGAGAGATCCCTTCGGCTGGTGCTGTCCCATTCACATGGCAGCCATGAAAGGCCACGTAGAAGTCGTCCGAGAGTTCCTAGAACGTTTCCCTGATTCGAGAGAGCTACTAAACGGGTCCGGTCAAAACATCCTTCATATGGCCGCCGAGAGTGGCAGAGCCAAGGTTGTTAGCTATATTCTCCAATTGCCGGAGCTTGAGATGCTTCTCAACGAAACAGATAAAGAAGGAAATACCCCACTACATTTGGCCACCATTGTGGCTCATCCAAAGGTTGTGAGTATTCTCACATGGGACAAGAGAGTTAGGTTAGACCTAAAGGATGATAAAGGTCACACCGCCATGGATGCTGCGCTGAGGTCCTCCAACGATGATTGGCCATCTTTCGACAGGTAAAGTCTATTCCCGTTCTCTGATTTTTTTTTTTAATTTAAATCTAAAAATTTTATAAGGAAAGATGAGTGTCAAGATTGTATAATGACATCGAACACAATAAATAAAGATTAAATAATATTCAAATGCAATGAGAAATTGAATATATGTACACAGTTGTGGCCACTGTTCATTCTCATTATCGAAACACCAATACTGATGGGTGCTGCATCTTAAGAGAATTGAAGGCCGGATGTTGGCTGATATTAATTGTGCTTTTATTTACTTAAAGAAAACACTTTTGATTTTGAAAATGGCTTTCAAGCTGATAACTGAGAAACCTTGACCAAGTAATGATTCTGTGATTAGTGTTGAAAAATAAATACTCTGAACTTTTACAAATTGTGTGTTATGATTACATACATATGTTTTTTGGGAGTTCTAAATAGTTAAATTCATTGTGTGAGTATATACTTTGTATACGTATGTACAAGTACTTAGTATTTATTATGATTCATGTATAGATAGTTAGTATGGTTCACGTAACAAAAGTCTAAAAGTCATAATATACTCCTTGTATTTTGCATTTCAAATGAAGTGAGTTACAAAAAAATCCTCCTCTCATACTCCTTTTCCTAAAACAATCAGTTGGTTTTATTTGATTTGGGCATAGGTTGATGTTTTGCTTTTAAGTGTTTTCCCACTCATTTCCCTTATCAGGGATTTTTGCTCTCTTTCAGTGGTTCCATGAATGGGATTGGTTTTTTGTTTTCAAAAAAAAAAAAAGAAAGGAAAAAGAAAGAGAGAAAAAACAATGATTTTGAACACATGATTCATAAATCATCTAGAACACAACTCTGCCCAATGGAGTCACAAATATGGAACTATACTAGCTGTTGTGTTTTTTTCGTAACAATAAACTAGTACAAACGTACATGTTAATAATTTTACTCACTATCTTCATGTCAGTTCACCTTTCCCATTTTTGTGTGTGATTCTATAGCATGAGTTATTAGAGAAATACTTCCATATCATTTCTTTTAAAACTCTCCCTCTCTCTCCCTTAAATTGTTTGCAGCGGCTAGCGTGGTTGGCATTGAAACATGCAAATGCACCAAGAAGCAAGCATAATCCTACCAACCAGACACGAAGTCATGATATAGACGAATATCTGCTATCTATTGCCCAGACACCAAATCTTGATGATACGATAGCGTCGTTCATGTTGACGGCAACACTTATTATGACCGTGACATTTGCTGCTGGTCTCGCAGTGCCTGGTGGATTTAACGGCTCTGATTCCAATCCCAAGGGTATGGCAATTTTGGTCAAAAAGGCAGCATTCCAGGCATTTGTGATCATCAATACAACGGCTTTTTACAGCTCCATGGTGGCTGTCCTTGCACTCATATGGGCGCAAATGGGTGATTTGTATCGAATCAAAACTTTCCTCCGATTGGCAGTTACATTACTTGGTATATCTCTCACAACGGTCTCTCTGTCATTCATGGTGGGCGTTTCTCTTGTGGTGAGCAACCTCAGTTGGCTCCCTTGTGTTGTTTTAGTCGTGGGCTCTATCTTCCTTTTTTCTGGCTTGACACTCTTGCTTCTGCTCTCTCTCCCGTCTTCCCTCAACCATCAAGCATTGCGCTACATCGTTTACTATCCATTTTGTCTTCTGATATTTATTGCCGACTTGAATCCCCAAGGTCATATAGATCCAGGTCGTCAATTAGGTCTAGAAGAAGATTCAGATGGCGAAAGTTCATGTTACATGGTACGTGATGAAGATTTAGATGGCGAAGAATCAGATCATAACAGTGTAAGTGATGAAGATCCAGATGGCGAAGAATCAGATCATAACAGTGTAAGTGATGAAGATCCAGAAGACAGAATCAGATGAAAAAGAGCCATATGACAAAGAATCCGTCAAAAAAGAGCCAGATGACGAAAAGAGGTATAAAAGGTTTAGGTTTAGATGATGTGAAATACGATCATTGTTGAGATCTTCATTCACAAGGAAGACGAGTCAACCTCGCTTGCCTCCTCCTTCCAGTGAAGGTAAACACATGCTTAGGGTTTTGTACGTGAGAGGAATTTTTAGAATAAAAGGAAAACTCAATCCCATGTTGGTCCCTTTATTTATAAGTTAGGGTTTGAGTTTGTATTTTGAAAGATACAAGTTTATTCTGTCTAAGGGAGAAATGTTTATAGAAAAAAGGTATCTTTGTAATAGCATGTTCAAGATGAATGTTATTATGAATAAAAGTATTGTTGCTGCTTATATTGTCGAGTCTTTTAGTTTAAGGCAAATCATTTAGGACATGTTAACTTTAGAAAATTAAATAAAATTATAAAATGAAATTTAATTCCAAAAACAAATAAAAATTTGAAAGCATGTACAACTTGTATATCAACTTTTCATAATTAAAAAAATTTCAATTTTAACATTTATTTTTAATTTTTACAAATTAAAATACATTAACGGTTTACTTACGGCCCAGTTCACGATTCATTCATGATTTTGATTCACAGTTCATGATTCATAATTCATTCACAGTTCTAATTTTTGATTCATGGTTCATTCATGGTTCTGATTCAAAGTTTATTCACAATTCATGATTCCAGTTCACCAATTTTTGTACAGTTTTAGTTCTTGTTCAGGTTCAAAAAAATCTAAATCTTAATCAAACCATGAACTCTCACAGTTTAGAATTGGGCCGGACTAGAAATTGTCAGTTTAGTCTAGTCTAGTTTTTTATAAGTCTGGTCTGGATCAATTCATAGTCTAGACCAGACCCGTGAGTTCTAAAGTTATCTTTTGGTCATCCAAGAAATAATAGATAATTACTTTATCTTCTATTGAGACAGAGTATATTGTTGCAACAATATGTTCCTCTTAAAATCATGTTCTGCATGTTAAATTGGATATAAGTGAATAAAATAAGATATGAATAATAATTTTTTTCACTTGTTTGATATAACTTAATCTAGAGAATAGGATATAGTACAATAATACAAATTTTACAAAAATATCTTATTATTGATTATCCTCCTCACAGAAGAATTGCGCATACAAGTTCGTTAATGGCAATCTTCTTTGTTTATTAACATTGTTCGTTGCACCAAAGCTTATCAAGGATGATCTCTATTTATCAATACAAATTTGTGCAGTCCTCATCGTGCTGTCTCTCACATTGATATGCAATTTGCTCTTGCACATATCTGCAATTTGCTCTCACACAGATAAGATACCATCATCGTGCTCTCACATAGAAGCTCTCTCACACACAACTCTCCTCGCTTCTCCTTGCTTGTCCAATGTGTAATAGGCTCATTTCTCCTTGCACAAAAGCTCTCTCTTACACAGATAACTCGTGCTCACATCCCGATCCCTCCTGTCTGGGGTTCTTCCTCTTGTCCTAATAAGCCTTAATCCAAATCTTACTTGAGTTCTAGCTAAACCCTGACCTTTGCGTCTGCAATTTCAAGAACATTTGGCCTCTTATTCACCTTCTGGGATCTCTTTCCACCACTGGATTGCTTGAGTAGCCAAACAATTATGGCCGAAGTTGTCATTGGAGTGGGTGGACAACTATGGCTATAGTTATGGCTGGGTTGCTTTTGGTCATTTTTTATGTGAATAATGGGGATATTTTAGTACAATAAAAATACAGAAATTTGATAAACCTTGATAAAACTATTAGACTCCTCCAAGATACGCGATCCGAGTCTATCAAGATAACTACTCTTGTCCATCTCATTATTTCAGTTTCATATCATATGAACCAAACATCTGATAAAGTATAATAATTTTATTTTATTCCACCTTATCATACATACTGAATGATCCTAAATTGTTCGTTATCTCTTAACTATCAAACAAATGTGACGGTGAATACTAAATGATGAGGTGTAACCTTTTCCTGAATTTCTTTTTTACTTAAATAATATTTTCAATATATGGAAATTTGTGAGTAATTCTCTCTGTAAAAATAAAAAAATAAAAAATAAAAAATAAAAAAAACCATACTCTTCTATGCTCCTACGTTCCAGCTTCCCTTTGGCATTTGCCTTAATAGACATCTTAACCCCCCCCCCCCCCCCTCTCCAGCAGATTCCATTTATTAGGGCATGCACAAAGTAAGCACATTCTCTAGCCTTCTATCGACATAAGTGATTCTTGTTTAATCTAACTAATGAAAGAGGTTTCAAGAAAAAAATTATTCATGGAAAATTGTTTTTGAAAATGAGTAATTAATTAAGTAATTTAAATACTTAAAAACTGTTTGATATCCCAAGTCATAATCAAGAAAACCCGTTTGGAAGGTTGCTTCTAAAATTGTTTTCACAATTTTTTCAAAACATAAACCTATTTTAGAAAACAACAAACAGTCATTTTCAGATTTTTTTAGCAACTATATATTTTTGCTCGGTAATCGGTAGGTGAGTTTTCTGCACTGTTGAATGAAGATAATGAGAACCAGGATAATTTCAACAAACGGATGACTTTTTTTTTGTTATTGTGATGATCAAGGAAACATAAATGCGAAGAATTATGTGGGGTTTAACTTGATCATGCAAACATATCCACGTATGTTTAACTTCTTCTAACTAAATATAAAAATATTTAGAAAAATGAGAATAAATGGCCAACCCCAAAAAGATGGACAAAGTCATAAATAGATTATGTTAACTTCTTCTAAGTAAATACCTAGGAAAATGAGAATAATTAGGCCAGTCCAAGAAGATGGGACAAAGTCTTGAATATATGGATCCTTTTGCAGGGTATTAATTGTCAAACCTAGCTACGTGTCAATTGAGGTGCTCGTATAGTTTAGTTTAGTTCAATTTAATACTTAAATTATATTTTACAGTTTGTAATTTTTAAAAGTTAAATTATACCACGATTCATAATTTACTTTAATTTCAAATTAGAGCTTGTAATTTATAAAAATAGAATTATTTAAATTCATTACTTTTTAAAAAATTGAAAAAAAATTTCCTAAAAATTGAATATTCAAAATTTTTTATGAATCTATTTAATTCAATAAATTCATTATTTATCAACTAGTCACAGTAGTTACATATTATATAGTAAATATCTTTATACAATATAACAGAATTTAAATCATACTAATAAATCACTCTTTAAAGAAAGAAAAACAGTAAGTAATTAGAAAAAGAAGTATAAATATAAAAGATTATAGAAAAAGAAGTATACAGTTAAATAGTAAAAATAAATTATATATAAAGAGGAAGGATTTTTAATTTTTTGTGTGTGTTTGTGTGTATGTGCATAAACTATATATTTTGATTTGATTTATATAGTTTGTTTATATATTAAATATCAAACTAAACTATAAAAAAAATTTATATGCAAAATGAACTAAAATAAACTAAAGTGCCCGATTTAATCAATATAAATGGTTGAGTTGAATTTACTGAACATCCCTGAGTACCATAAGTCATAAATAAAGAACATGATAGAACATGAATGTCCCTTTGACGGCAATCATTCTGACCCAATTTTTTTTTCTTAAGACAAGGAAACAAAGAAAAAATAACTATTTTTGAAAAGAAAAAAAAAGGAGATCAAAGTGTCACCCTAAAACAGACAGACGACTTAACAAAGGAGATTTATTGCAATCAAGAATTCTAGAAAATCTAAGTGAGATAATTGGCTGTGAGACACTACAAGAAAAAGGTCGAGTTCTGACGGAACTTACCGACGGACAGCCGAACCGTCGGAAAATCGACGATATTTCTGACGGATTTTCCGTTGCAAATCAAAAAATTCAATTTCATTTTATTACCGACGGATTTTCGACGGACAAATTCCGTCAAAAACTTTTTTTTTATATTTTAATACTAAATTTTATTTATGATGGAAGAAGTACATCGGAAAAATTAATTTATTATTTATTTATATGTTTGATTTATTTCGACGGATAGCTGTCCGTCGGAAAACAAGATTATATATATATTTTAATATATAAATTTTTACCGACGAACATCAGTCCATCGGAAAAGGATTTTTTTATCTAATGTAAAAATATTTTAATACTAATTACTTTCCGACGGACAGAGTTCATCGGAAAAAGAAATTAATTTATTTATTTGTAATATTTAATTTATTTTTGACAGATGGAGTCCATTGGAAAATTTTTTTTATTTATTTTAATAACTAATTTACTTCCGACAGAGGTCAGTCCGTCGGAAAAGAATGTTTTTATATAATGTAAAAATATTTTAATACTAATTACTCAGAAAAAGAATTTAATTTATTTATTTGTAATATTTAATTTATTTCCGATAGAATAGAGTCCATTGGAAAAAAATTTATTTATTTTTATTAATTAATTTATTTTCGACGGACATCAGTCCATCGGAAAAAAGTTCTGTAGAGAAATATATGAATTATTTCCGACGGACATAACCGTTGAAAAAAATTAATCATAAAATAAATATTTGGAAATTTGATTTATTAAACAAAAAATTATATTTTCTAATAATTTTATTTTCTTATTAAATATAAAATAATATAACATTAAGCGAGAAGTATATATATTTTATATAATATTAAATGAAGAAAATATATTAAAAATATGTTATATGTAATATATTGTAGAATATAAAATAACATATATAAAAAATACTATATATAGTATACTAAACTACATTACTAATATTATATACGTAATACTATATGTATGTATTATATACTATATGTTATCTATTATATATGTAGTATATGTACATAGATATATCAATATATGTACATACATATAATACTATTAAATTTTGTACACGATAGTGCACATGTATTATATGTGTACATATATTACTACTTATACCATATACTACTACATATATGTACATATATTGCTATATATATTATAT